GCTCAAGCCAAAAGTCAAGGACACATCCTTGACATTTCCCTCACATCTAGTCATATCTAGAAATATCTAGAATGTGTATGCCTCCCACTATTGATTCTACCACCACCCTACTTCCTTACAGCCAGTGTAATCACCACCTGCTCTCTTCTTCCTCTTTATCCTCCATACCCCAGCATCTCTCTCCTCTCCAGTCCTTTCCAGTCTTTTCCCAGCTTAGTCCTCCCCCTCACAGTCATTGGGACCTGAAATTCACTTAATTTTTTTTTTTTTTTTTTGGTACTGAGGATTGAACCCAAGGGCACATAAGCACTGAGCCATATCCCCAGCCTTTTTATTTTGTATTTAGAGACAAGTTCTTACTGAGTTGCTCAGGGCATTCCTAAGTTGCTGAGGCTGGCTTTGAACTTGTGATCCTCTTCAGCATCCTGAGCTGCTGGAATAACAGATGTGCGCTACTGCACCTGGCTTTTTATTATTATTTGTTCTACTTAGTTGTACATGACAGCAGAATGCATTTTAATTCCTTGTATACAAATGGAACACAACATTTCAGTTCTCTGGTTGCACCATTTGTCCAATCATACGTGTACCTAGGGTAATGATGTCCATTTCATTCCACCATCTTTCCTACCTCCACAACCCCTCCTCACCCTCCCCTTTGCCCAATTCAAATTTCTTCAATTTTTTACCCCCACCCCATCATAGATCAGCATCCACTAATCAGAGAAAACATTCGGCCTTTAGTTTTTTTGGATTGGCTTACTTCACTTAGCGTAATATTCTCCAACTTTGTCCATTTACCTGCAAATGCCACAATTTTATTCTCTTTTATTGCTGAGTAATATTCCATTGTGTATATATATACCACCATTTCTTTATCCATTCATCTACTGATGGGCATCTAGGTTGGTTCCACAGTTTAGCTATTGTGAATTCAGTTGCTATAAACATTGGTATTGTTATGTCACTATAGTATGCTTATTTTAAGTCCTTTGGGAATAAATCAAGGAGTGGGATAGTTGGGTAAAATGGTGGTTCTATTCCAAGTTTTCTGAGGAATCTCCACACTGCTGTCCAAAGCGGTTGCCCCAATTTGCAGTCCCACCAGAAATGTATGAGTGTACCTTTTTCCCCACATCCTCTCCAACTCTTATTTATTATTGCTTGTATTCTTGATAACTGCCATTCTGATTGGGGTGAGATGAAATCCTAGAGTAGTTTTGATTTGCATTTCTCTAATTACTAAAGATGTTGAACACTTTTTCATATATTTGTGGTTCGTTTGTATATCTTCTTCTGAGAAGTGTCTGTTCAGTTCCTTAGGCCATTTATTGATGGGCTGTTTCTTTTTTCCTCTTTCTTTCTTTCTTTTTTTTGTAGTAAGTCTTTTGAGTTATTTGTATATCCTGGAGATTAGTGCTCTATCTGTTGTACATGTGGTAAAAATTTGCTCCCATACTATAGGCTCTTTCTTCACCTCAATTATTGTTTCTTTTGCTAAGAAGAAGCTTTTTAGTTTGAATGCATCCCATTTATTGATTCTCTTTTTAAAATATTTTTTTAGTTGTTGATGGACCTTTATCTTATTTATATGTATGTGGTGCTGAGAATCAAACCCAGTGCATCACACATGCTAGGCAAGCACGCTACCTCTGAGCCACAACCCCAGCCCCACATTTATTGATTCTTGATTTTATTTCTTGAACTTTAGGGGATTGTTAAGAAAGTCAGGGCCTAATCTGACATGATAAACATTTGGGCCTACTGTTCCTGTATTAGGTGCAAGGTTTCTGGTTTAATTCCTAGGTCTTTGATCCACTTTGAGTTTTATGCATGCTACATATGGATTTGCAGTTTTCCCAGCACCATTTGTTTAAGAGGCTATCATTTCTCCAATGTATATTTTTGGTGCCTTTGTCTAGTATGAGATAACTGTATTTATGTGGGTTGGTCTCTGTGTCTTCTGTTCAGTACCATTGGTCTACATGTCTATTTGTTGCCAAAACCATGCTGTTTTTGTTACTATTGCTTTGTAGTATAGTTTAAGGTCTGATATTGTGATGCTTTTTTTTTTTTTTTCCCCTTAGGATTGCTTTGGCTATTCTGGGTTTCTTATCATTCCAAATGAATTTCATGATTGCTTTTTCAAGTTCTTTGAAGAATGTCACTGGGATTTTAACAGAAATTGCATTAAATATGTATAATAGTTTTACATTAAATCTGTATAATGTCCATTTTGACAATATTAATTCTGCCTATCCAAGAGCATGGAAGATCTTTCCATCTTTTAAGGTCTTCTTCAATTTCCTTCTTTAGTGTCCTGTAGTTTTCATTGTAGAGGTCTTTCACCTTTTTAAAATTTATTCCCAAGTATTTTATACTTTTTAAGCTATTTTGAATGGGGTAGTTTTCCTAATTTCTCTTTCAGTGGATTCATCACTTTTGTTTAGAAATGCATTTGATTTATGGGTATTGTTTTTATATCCTGCTACTTTGCTGAATTCATTGATTGGTTCTAGAAGTTTTCTGGTGGAATTTTTTTCGACCTTCTAAATATAGAATCATGTTATTGGCAAATAGTAATAATTTGAGTTCTTCTTTTCCTATGTATATCCTTTTAATTTTTTTAGTCTATCTGATTGCTCTGGCTAGAATTTCAAGGACTGTGTTAAATAGATGTGGTGAAAGAGGGTATCCCTGTCTTGTTCCAGTTTTTAGAGGAAATGCTTCCATTTTTTCTCCATTTAGAATGATGTTGGTCTTGGGCTTAACATAGATAGCTTTTAAAATGTTGAAGTTTGATCCTACTATTCCTAGTTTTTCTAGTTTTTTTGAATGTGAAGAGGTGCTGTATTGTATTGAATGCTTTTTTCAGCATCTATTGAGATAATCATATGATTCTGCACCTGGCTTTTTTAAAAAAATATTTATTTATTTATTTTGGTGCCAGGCATTGAACTTAGGGATGCTTAACCACTGAGCCACATCCTGATACCTTTTATTATTATTATTAATATTTATTTTTTAGTTGTGGTTGGACACGATTCCTTTATTTTATTTATTTTTATGTGGTGTTGAGAATTGAACCCAGGTCCTTGCATGTGCTAGGTGTACACTCTACCACTGAGCCACAACCCCAGCCCATTATTATTATTATTATTTTTAAATTTATTTTTTAGTTGGACACAATATCTTTTTTTAAAAAAAGATGTTGCTTTTGTTTTATTTTTTTAAAGAGAAAGAGAGAGAGAGAGAATTTTTTTAATATTTATTTTTTAGTTTTCGGCGGACACAACATCTTTGTTTGTATGTGGTGCTGAGGATCGAACCCGGGCCGCACGCATGCCAGGCGAGCGCGCTACCACTTGAGCCACATCCCCAGCCCCATGGACATAATATCTTTATTTATTTATTTTTATGTGGTGCTGTGGATGGAACCCAGGGCCTCGCACATGCTAGGTGAGTGCTCTACCGCTGAGCCACAACCCCAGCCCTATTATTATTTTTTAAAAAATATTTTTTAGGGCTGGGGATGTGGCTCAAGCGGTAGCACGCTCGCCTGGCATGCGTGCGGCCCAGGTTCGATCCTCAGCACCACATACAAACAAAAATGTTGTGTCCGCCGAAGGCTAAAAAAAATAAATATTAAAATTAAAAAAAAAGTTTTTTAGTTGTGGATGGACACAATACCTTTATTTTATGCATTTATTTTTATGGGGTGCTGAAGATCAAACCCACTGCCTCACATGTGCTAGGCAAGTGCTCTACCACTGAGCCATAACCCCAGCCCTATTATTATTTTTTAAAAATATTTTTTGGGGGCTGGGGCTGGGGCTCAGTGGTAGAGTACTAGCCTGGCACGTGTGAGGCTCTGGGTTTGATCCTCAGCACAATATAAAAATAAATGCATAAAATAAAGGTATTGTGTCTACCTACAACTAAAAAACTACATATTTTAAAAAATATTTTTTAGTTGTCAGTGGACTTTTATTTATTTATATGCGGTGCTGAGAATTGACCCCAGTGCCTCACACACACTAGGCCAGTGCTCAACCTCTGAGCCACAACCCCAGCCCCGCCCTTTTATTATTATTATTTTATTTTTGAGACAGGGTCTCACTAAGTTGCTTAGGTCATCACTAAGTTGCTGAGGTTGGATTTGAATTTGCCATGCTCAGCCTCCAGAGCCACTGGAATTACAGATGTTCTTCACCGTGCCCAGCATCTTTCTGTTCATCCATCTGTGTATTTAGCTCTGGGATTTAGTTGAGAGTAAGAGACAGGTTCCCCCAGTTTTCATTGATCCAACCAATACATCTTCTATGGGCTTGGCACTGTGTTAGGCACTGAGGATAAACCAGGAAGTAAGATCCTATCCTATCTGTCTGTCCTTTCTCCCTCCCTCTCTCTTGTTCATTCATTCATTCACTTACAGATATCTCTTTGTGCTGACCTAGCTATACAGCCTGGTTCATTTTGCTGACACCCTCATCTTGGCAGAGGCTGGTACATGTTTCAGGCCTCAGTGCTGTTTATAGAACCCAGCATCAGATTTTGCCACACCCCATGCTGTTTGAAAAGTGCCTCACTATTGCCAGATCCTGGTCTGTGATCCTCAAGTTCTGGCTCCTGCAGTTAGGCAGACGGATAATTGAGCTCCACTCTTCAGCCTGCTCTCTCCTACCCTGCTTCTCCTAGCAGCTCCTCAACACTTCAGGTTGCACTTTCTGCTACCCAATGACCCCCTCTACAAAGTGGCCACATTGGTGGGTCCTTCCCACTTGTCCATTTCCTGTAAGAAGGAAGAAGGAGCCTGATTGGGCCATCTGCCCCAGTTCCTCTCCATGATTCTGTGGCTCTCTGGTGTCTCTGATCCCAGCTGTCCTAGCTGCCGTGGGCACAAGGAAGCGTATGTGGAGAAGCTGCAGGGTTACCTATTAACTCAGCCAGGAGTTGAAGGGCTGATGGGCAGTAGGCAGACTTGACTTTCCTTTCTGTCCATGGGCTTGGGCCGCTGCTTCAGATCCAACAGCAACTTCAAGATGGTCTCCTGGTCGGTGCTAATGAGGATACAAGCAACACTGCAGAAGGAGATGGTGCGGGAGTTCCTGGCTGAGTTCATGAGCACGTATGTCATGATGGTGAGTGGATGGGGGGCATGGGGTGGGTGGGGGGTGCAGCAGGGGCAGTCCACAAATCTCTCCCAGCTCTGACCCCATGAGGCATACTGTTACTTCCTCTGCCTCTGATCTGGGAATCTGAGAAGAAAGCACAAGAAAGTAGGTGAAAGGCTTTGCTCAACAAGTCCTTTTGGGACAGAAAGGGCTCATAATAAACCAGGACAGGGTGAAACCATGAGCTGGAGAGTCAAGGGGCACAGATGGCAGTGGGAAAAGGAAAACCAAGGGTAAAGGGGCTGCTGAAAACCTTGAATGTCAGGCTTTGAAAATTAATTTTGAGGACAATGGGGAGACATTGAAGGTTATCAAGCAGGGGAGTGATATGGCCATATCTGGATTTTAGAAGGTAGCTTTTGGGCACAGTGTGGAGACTAAGCAGAAAAGGCTAAGCTGGAGGGAGAGGAGCCAGTTAGGAGGCTGATTTAGATGGAATAGAGAGAGGGCTGTGCCAGGCATGGCGGCACATGCCTGTAATCCCAGTGGCTCAGAGGTTGAGGCAGGAGGATCGTGAGTTAAGGCCCTAAGCAACTTAGCGAGACCCTGTCTCTGATTAAAAAAAAAAAGGAAAAAAGGCAAGTGCCGCCATATATATAAAAATATATATATATATATATATATGTATGTATGTATAAAGTGGCTCAGTAGTTGAGCACCTCTGGGTTCAATTCCTGGTACCAAAAAAAAAAAAGAGGAGGAGGGCTGTGACATGGTTGGGGATGGCAAAGAAAGCCCATATATAGAATTGTAGGAGATGGAATCAAGGAGACTTTGCAAGCAACAGATGTCTGATGGGCCATTCTGGAGCATGGAGCTAGTACAAGAAGAGGTGAGGTTGGTTTGGACATGATCAGGTGAGATGCCAGTGGAGAATTCAAGAGGTAATAAATTGAATACAGGGCTCTGGAGCTCCAGAGAAGTTGGGCTGGGAGGAAAGAGAGGAAATGCATTAGAATTGGGTAAAATTGTGCAGAGAGAATGAACCTGTGTGAGAAGGACTCTGGACACCTGGTTTCTTACCCTGACCCACAGAGTCACCAGCAGGTCTTGGGCAGGTCTCTTCTGGCTTTGAGCTTGTCTTCTCAGTTTTCAAGTATATAGCATCCAGCCTTCACGGGCTTTGGAGCTATTTGTGCTCTGGCTCTGCTATCTTCTAGCTATGTATGATCTTCCACCAGCATTTAAACTGCTCAGAATGTTAGTTTCCTTTTGGAAAATGGGGACACTAGCATCAAGGTGGCAGACTTGTGTGAAGAAGGCCAAGTGCCAACACTCAGCACAGAGGTGTTGATACACATGTGTTGGTCCTTGTTATTATGACAAGTGCTCTCATCTGCTTTTTCTTCCCTGCATCCCATTCTCTCACCCTCCTCCCTTACCTGCTTTGCCTCCTGAGCTGTAAGGACAGCAGCCGGATCCTGTCCCTCCTTGATCCAGGAGAAAGTAATTCATTTATGACAAGACATTCCAGTCCCATGAGGGCTGTTAAACCTTGGAACCTCAGAGGCAGGAGGGTGCCTCTTTAGAGAGCCTTTAGGGAAAGCAAGCCCGCATGTCTTGATACTTGCCCACATCTGCCTTCCTTTTTTTTAAAATTTTTTATTTAGATAATCGTTGAGCACTTACTGCATACCAAACACTCTGATGCTAAACCCCTTACATGTGGCATCATCCCAAACCTCACAATGACCCTGTGAAGTAGGTACTGTTGTTAGCCCCCATTTCACAGATGGGGAAACTGAGGCTCTGTAAGACTAAATCACTGGTTTAGTCATACTTTAAGTTAAGATTAAATCCATAAGGGAATCCCATCATCATGCCACAAGAATGGGGTCCTAATTAGAGTAAGATATATTCTATACTTAAATAATGTTATCAAAATGGATTCTACTGTTATGTATAACTAAGAAGAACCAATTAAAAAACACAAAATATTAAATCTAGCCCAGTCTAGTATTAATTTTTTTTCTTTTGGTATTGACATCTGAACCCAGAGCCCTTTTTATTTTCTAATTTGAGACAGAGTCTCACTCAGTTACCCGGGCTGCCCTCAAACTTGAAATCCTTCTACCTCAGCCTCCCAAGTCACTGGGATTTCAGGTGCACACCACTATGCCTGGTTTAATATCATAATCTTGACCTTTAACCTCTATGGTCTGTCCCTTAGTTTAGAGATCACAGGCTCTTTAAGGCTGCCTTGTTAACTCCCTGCCTGCTATGATAAGACCCTTGCTTTCAGGCACTGGGTAGTTCAAGATCCCTGTCTGGGCTGCAGTTTTTCTACAGTGGGCAAAAACACTTGCTACACAGATTTGCTGTGAGGATTGAAAGGAAGCAATGCTTTTAAAAGAATGTTTAAGCTCATGTAGGACATTGTATTGTTATTATTTTTAGTTGCCAGACCTGTGCCAAGAAGTGGGGGCTTTTTCAGTTGATAGGAAACTCAGTGAATCACCAGGGTAAAGGTTTTGCAAAAAAAAAAAAAAAAAAAAAAATGCTAGTGTGACCTTGGGTCCCATTTATTGCAGCCAGGATGAGGGAAGTGAGCTATTCTACTCTATGACCTCTAAGGTTATTGTCCTCAAAGCTGGCTTCCTGGCTATTGGGGGGACTTTGATGGGCTGGGTTACATTCACTTACCAGAGAGGGGAGAGGCTGGAACCATCGGTGCCCTGGAAACCCAAAGCTGTGTATGTGAGCAATAGGGCAAGGGTTGCAAACTCATATGCTACAGGGGCCAAGAATGTCAACTCAGGGTGGTAGGGACTTGGACACAGAGTGCAGACCTGTGTAAGGGTGTAACTGCCACTGCTCCAGCTGGCTGTTACCATGGAGGTGGAATACAGGCCAGCATGGCCTCAGCTTCTTATTTTGCAAGAGGAGCTGAAACTTCTGTTTTTAAAAACCAAAACCTGTGTGCTGGATGGATTAGGTATGTGCATTGCCAATTGGCAATTCTGACACAGAGAATCATGTGGGATTAATTCACTCATTCTTTTTCTTTTTCTTTTTGGTGCCAGAGATTGAACCCAGGGGTGCTTAACCACTGAGCTACATCCTTAGCCCTGTTTATATTTTATTTAGAGACAGGGTCTCGCTAAGTTGCTTTGCACCTCACTAAGTTTCTGAGGCTGGCTTTGAACTTGTGATCCTCGTGTCTCAGCCTTCCGAGCTGCTGGGATTATAGGCATGCACCGCTGTGCTTGGCTCATTCGTTATTTTTATTTATTTATTTATTTTAATTTTTATTGTTGGTTGTTACATTCATTATTTTTAACAAACATTATGTTGACATGGGGAAAACAGAAATGAGGGACCCTCAGTCTTCAGACCCTCCATGCCTGCTTCAGTCCCTTCACCCCCTGGGAGGTCCCCCAACTAGCCTGGCATGGCCTCACTCCTCCTATTCCTGTCAGTTCCTGTCCTCTCCTGCTGCATCCTCTCCTGGCCTTAAGCCAGCCATTTCTGGGCTCCCCTGCACCTTTCCTGGGCTCCTGAGGGAACCAGTGAGCCATGCTCAACAGCCTGTCCTCTGTCCTACCTGGATATTTCACATTTTCTCAGACTTCCTTGAAACTGCTCTACATCTGTCTTTTTTTTTTTTTAATTAGCAAATAGTTTGATCTCCTGTTTGACAGAGAAAATCATTGGGCTAGCTTCCTGTGTCTACCTCCTTTTGTTCCTGTCCCTCTCACCACCTGTTACCTACCTGTGCATCCACACATTTCTCCTAAGCTAGGGTGTGTCACCTCCTTCCTGGAGGACTCCTCTATTTCAGTCCATTCCTCCAGCCCACTCAGGCCCTTTGCTCTTTTTTCTTTCTTTCTTCTATCTTCAGCACGCCCACCCATAAACATACCAAAATCTCTCCACTTAACAAAACATCTCTCCCTTCATCTTGTGAACCTGTCATTTATCACACACTCTCACTTTTCAAAGAAGTTCTCAAAGAAGTCTCTATACTGGTACATTTTATTTTATTTATTTTTTTTAAGAGAGAGTGAGAGAGATAGAGGTAGAGAGAGAGAGAATTTTTTAATATTTATTTTTTAGTATTTGGCGGACACAACATCTTTGTTTGTATGTGGTGCTGAGGATCGAACCCGGGCCGCACGCATGCCAGGCGAGCGCGCTACCGCTTGAGCCACATCCCAGCCCCTATACTGGTACATTTTAATTCTCATCAGCTGGGATTGTAGCTCAGTGCTGGAGCACTTGCCTAGCATGAGTGAGGCCTGGGGTCCAATCCCCAGCACTGCAAAAAAGTTACCTCTGCTGGGCGTGGTGGTGCCCAACTGTATTCCCAGATACTCTGAAAGCTGCAGCAGAAAGATAGATCCCTTGAGCCCAAGAATTTGAGGCCAGCCTGGGCAACATAGTGAGACCCTGTCTCAAATAAATGAATTCTTCCTTACCGCCTTACCACTTACCTATCAATCTTTCCTGGCTTCTGCCCCAACCCCCCCACGCCCATGGCCTGATAACACAGTGCTCATCATGTTACTAATGACTGCTGGATTGCCATCCAAAGGAATGTGCTTTCCAGGCAGGTCTTCATACTTGTGATCCAGAAGCTGCATATGACTAACCGAGTTGACCATGCCCTCCTTGGAAAAATCTCTCCCTGGTGCACTTTCTTTGTTCTCCCATTTTAACGCCTGCTCAGCTGAGGTTTCTAACATCCACCCATAAATGCTGACTCTAATCAGCCTCCAGCTGTGTGCCCCCTCTTCTCCTGGGGCCCTATTCACCCATGGCTTCATTGCAGTTCTCATGTCCATAATTATTTATATTTTCTATTTCCTAAGCTTTAGAGCAGAACTGGTCAAGGGAAATAGAATTTGAGTCACATACTTTAAAATTTTCTAGTAGCTACATTAAAAAAGTAAAGAGCAACAGGTGAGAATAAGTTGTATGTTATTATATTTAATCCATGTATCCAAAATCCAACATGTAGTCAATATAAAATTGTTAAGTTAATTCACATTCTCCACTTCCAACTAAATCTTTGAAATCTGGCATGTGCTTTACACTTAGAGCAGATCTCAATTGGACAGTCCCATTTTAAGTGCATAACAGCTGCATGTGGTCACATAACTAGATATCCTTGATATCCTTTTGTTGTTGTTTGGTTCTGGGGATTGAACCCAGAGGCACTTAGTCACTGAGTTACATCCCATACCTTTTTTTTAATATTTATTTTTTAATTGTAATTGGGCACAATACCTTTATTTATTTTTATGTGGTGCTGAGGATTGAACCCAGGGCCTTGCACATGCTAGGTGAATGCTCTACCACTGAGCAACAACCCCAGTCCCAGCCCCAGACCTTTTTATTTTTTATTTTGAAATAAGTTCTAAGTTTCTGTTGGCCTCGCTAAGTTGCTGAGGCTGGCCTTAAACTTACAATCCTCCTGTCTCAGCCTGAGCCCCAGCCCCAGCCCCAGCCCCACCATTCAATTTCTTGAAGCTTCACTTTGCCCATCTATCAGTTGGGGAGAATAATAGTGCTCCGCATAGAAATATCCTTCAGGTTGGCCTGAAGTGTAAGATGCTTTGAGGGGTGCATCCCCTCTTTGAAGAATAATAGTGCTCCGCATAGAAATATCCTTCAGGTTGGCCTGAAGTGTAAGATGCTTTGAGGGGTGCATCCCCTCTTTGAAGCCCTGCTCACAACCCAAACTACAGGTGAGGGCTCAAGGTCAAGGTGCCTGGATATATCTTAGGAGCCTCTGACTTTCCCACCTGTCCCTGACTTCTTTCACCTAGCTCTCACTGGCTCAGGTATGAGAGATCTCTATGGGGTAAGGGAGGAGAGGCCATGAGAGAGAAGGCTCTGGAAAAAAGAGGGCACAGCAGAGGGTCTTTAAGGGCAATACTGGGGAGGCCTAGGACATGGGGGTGGTGAGGAGCTAGAACTGACTTCTGAGCTCTCCTCTGGGGTTGGGACTTCTGGGCAGGCAGCCACCTCAGAAACCTTTTTTTTTTTGCAGGTATTTGGCCTTGGTTCTATAGCCCATATGGTTCTAGGAGGGAAAAAATTTGGGAGCTACTTGAGTGTCAACTTGGCTTTTGGCTTTGGAGTCACCATAGGAATGCATGTGGCAGGCAACATCTCTGGTGAGTAAGCCCAGACCCTTCTGATTGGGCAAGACCAGGTATTCCTGACAAGCTGTTTCCTGCCCACCTCCAGCCAACCTTGTCTCTGATACAGCTGGTGCCTCACCCTCACTGGCTACCTGGAGGGAGGATGTGCCTCCGAACCCCTTGCCTTGGCTGCATGTCTTCCCCAGACTCTTCATGAACCCTTTTGACAGCACCCCTGCCCCTGCCATTTTTACAAGCTGGGTCATCTTAGGGAAATTATTCACCTCTGTTTCTCGTTTTCCTTGATGGTGAAAAGGAGATGGTGGTCCTTACTTTGTGGCGACCATTGTAAGGGTTCAATGAGAGAACCTTTGTTACAGTACACACTCCATAAACACTCACCATTACTATTTATTATTGCTGTTGCTGTCAATATTATTCATCTTATCCTTTGTTTCTGCTCTCAATCTCCCCTACACCTGCCCCTCCCCACAGGGGCCCATATGAATGCAGCTGTGACCTTCACCACCTGCGCTTTAGGTCGCATGCCTTGGAGGAAGTTTCCTGTGTATGTTCTGGGTCAGTTTCTGGGCTCCTTCATGGCTGCTGTCACCATCTACAGCCTCTTCTATAGTGAGTGTTCTCTCCCGGGTAGTCTGCCTCCAGTCTCAGCCTCCTCTGAAACATGGGCAGATCAGGTCTTGGTGTTCCGGTTCTGTAAAAATGTCTGGGAGAAAAGGCCTTGGAGGTGCTTCCCAACCCTCACCCTATAATCTGGGATGTTGGTGGGGTATAACTCAATCTGTCTCCACAGCGGCCATTATCCACTTCTCCGGCAACCTTCTGACAGTGACTGGTCCCACGGCCACTGCTGGCATTTTTGCCACTTACCTTCCTGAACACATGATATTGTGGAGGGGCTTCCTGGATGAGGTCAGTAGTGTAGGGTGATAGAAGAAAAGACTTCTGGATGGGGACTGTACCAAGACATGTCTCCGCCAGGGTGTTTGGATTTAGGGTACAATGGAGACTCCGTGGCTTGGCTAGGGCCTCAGTGGGCTGCCATGTCATCTACTCCCCAGATGTTTATCACAGGAATGCTCCAGCTGTGTCTCTTTGCCATCACGGACAAGGACAACAATCCAGCACTTCGAGGGACAGAGGCTCTGGTGGTCGGCCTCCTCATTGTCATCATCGGAGCGTCCCTAGGCATGAACTCAGGATATGCTATGAACCCATCCCGGGACCTGCCTCCTCGCTTCTTCACTTTCATTGCTGGCTGGGGCAAACAGGTGTTCAGGTACTGCCCTTGCCAAGCCCCATTCCTGTGAGTTTTCTGTGGGGCCCCTGCTTGCAGAGGGGTGGGGCAACCTGAGCAGCCGCCTAGGAGAGTCCTGCAGAACATCCAGATAGCTCAGGGAGCTGGGGTGGGTCCTGATGTTTTCCCAGACCAGCACAGATGTAGACCTTGCTCTGGGACTGTCAACCCTACCCCTGAATCTGGTTGGGGCGGGCCAGGGCCCCTGGCAAGGGTGTCTCCTGGGGTGACTCCTCTGCTCACTCTGTCTTGGCCTGAGGTGGATGCTAGTGCCACCCTGGGCATTGGCCTCCTCAGCAGTCCTGTCTCTTGCCTGCAGTGCTGGGGACAACTGGTGGTGGGTGCCAGTGGTGGCACCACTCCTAGGTGCCTACCTAGGTGGCATCATCTATGTCATCTTCATTGGCTCCAGCATCCCACGGAAGCCTCAGAGTTTGGAGAACTCCATGGTGTGCGAAGATCACAGGATAACTGAATTGCCCAAGACCAGCCCATCCACGACCTCCCCCATTGCCCCTTCAATCCAGCCTGTCCCATCCTTAAGTGGCTCCATGCCTTTAGAGCAGTTCTAAGTTGAGACTGTCATCCCAACGTACCCTAATAAAGAAAGCCTTGTCCCACAGTGGCACCCTCACTTTGTGGGGCCTCCTGTGGTTGGGCTTCCCTCCTGGCTCCTTCCAGGAGCTCCAGGTTTATGCCTTAGCTCAAGTTTGGAGCATAGAGCTGAGAGGCCTCAACTCTCTCCAGCATAGGAGCTGGGGTGTTCCCTGAGGGAGAATTGGGAGGAACTGACCTGTGGCCTTAGGGTGAGGTGACAGGCATAGAGGACTCTGAAGGGGGTGATTTGATGTAAGGCCCAGAACTATCTGGGGGTGGGGGCAACTTTGGGCATATCTTGAGGGTACCTTGTGATAGGATTCTAGAGTCCCCCCATTTGTCCCTTCTTTAGCCATGGCCAGTTCTTGGACCAGACAAAGCAAGATCAAGAGTGCAGATCAGAATTTCTCAACATTTTTTTCATTAGTGCCTTCAGCATTCTTTTAAATATTTTCTTAATGACATTTTTTTTAATACCACAGGTATACTAAACCTATGTTTACTTACTCTATCCGTGCTTCATACATAAAAATAATGAGACTCTTTTCATTCTTGTTCCAATTTTCATTCCCTTGAAGATGCGTGGTATGGACTGAAAGCTAGTAAGGGGTTGGACTCGTCTTCCTCCTTCCTGAAATAAGAGTTCTCACACATTAAGGAGTTCCAGAGTTGGGAAGGAAGATGTAATGAGGGAAATATTTTAGATCAGTAAAAAGGCAAGAAAAAGTCTCACAGAGTTCATAGGAAACAGGTCCAGAGTCTGGGTGGCAGCTTGGCAGCCAGGATATGTTGATGATGGGGCCAGGCAGAAACCAGCCATCCTGCTTTCTGGGATGTAGAAGGCAGCATCACCTGTGGTTCTTGTTGTTGTTCATATATTTAGCATTTACTGTGTGCAGACCATGCCTGGTCACTGAAGATGCCTAATGGCTAAGGTGAGGTCTCTACCATTAATGAATGCAGAATAATGGAGGATAGGTACTTATGAAAAACGAGCTAGAAAGTAGGATGTTTAGCGCTCAGAGGGGGTCTTACAGCCAGCCTTCAGTCTTCTCAGAGGAGGAGGCAGAGTGGAGTGGGGATTAGGGTGTCCTTTCTGGGGCTAAGAGACATCTGACAGTTTGAAGGGACAGGAGTCAGAGGATAGGCTTCCTTCTGGTGGGAGAATGGTGAGATGATGGAGAAAGCCCACCTAAGCTGAGTGTGCAGGATGCAGGCAATGGGGGAGACTGGTCTACAGAGAACATGGAGAGAGGCAATAATCCAGGAGCAGTAGCAGGTACCTACTGGGTCAGCACTGTGGGTGGAAATTACTGATGGGATTTGATCAATGTCTAGGAGGTATAACTAGCAGGACTTAGGCTTGGTTTGGATGAAGGAGTGGGTGAGGGACAGGGAGAAGTCAATGATGACTTCCGGTTTCTGGCTTGGATGTGGGGGGTTGGTAATGTCACCACTGAAAGCAGAATACAAGGGAGGACTGATTTGGAAAGGAAGATAAGTAACATCATAGACATTTGAGTTGCCTATGGCACTTGAGGCGGATGGGTGAGAGACGTGTGATATCTTGGGCAAATTAATCTCTCTGGGTCTTGATCTTCTTATTTGTTTTTATTTATTTTTTATGAAGTGCTGAGGATCGAACCCACGGCCTCGCACGTGCTAGGCAAGTGCTCTACCACTGAGCCAAAACCCCAGCTTGATCTTCTTATTTGTAAATGAGGATAAGAGTATAACTTACCATGCTAAATGTGCTAATACATGTAAAATGCTGAAAAACAGTGCTGCACCAAGTAAGTGCTCAATAATTGCAGTTGAGCCTTTTATGTGGTCTGGAGCTCAGAAGAGAGCTAAAGGCAGAGATTCATGGCTTTGTGGAGATGTACTGTTTCATGGAAGAGTGAAAGGAGAGTCAGGGAGCAGGGCACAAGTTGGGTGGTCAAGAGGCACTGGTAGCAACTCAGATGTCCACCAATAGAGGAAGAGATATACATGTTGCTATACAATCACCAATAACAGAATATTATACAACAAAGAAAATTAAGGCACAACAGGTACCTGTAACAATATGGAGAACATTTGAAGGCATAGAAAGCAATACAGTAGACTCTATACAATATGATTCCAGTTTTTTGGGGATTGAGGATTGAACCCACTGGTGCTTAGCAACTGAGCCACATCCCCAACTTTTTTTAAAAAAACATTTACTTTTTAGTTGTAGTTACACATAATACCTTTATTTATTTGTTTTTGTGTGGTGCTGAGAATGGAACCCAGGGCCTTGCACATGCTAGGTGAGCGTTCTACCACTGAGCGACAACCCCAACACCCCCAACTCTTTTTATTTTATTAATTTATTTTAAAATATTTTTTAGTTAGAGGTGGACACAATATTTTATTTTTATGTGGTGCTGAGGATCAAACCCAGTGCCTCACACATGGTAGGCGAGCACTCTACCTCTGAGCCACAACCCCAGCCCTCTTTTTATTTATTTATTTTTGTGGGGTGTCGGGGATTGAACCCATTTATTTTTTATTTTGAGACAGGGCTTCACTAAGTTGCTTAGGGCTTTGCTAAGTTGCTGAGGCTGTTCTTGAACCTGCAATCCTTCTGCCTCAGCCTCCTGAGTTGCTGGGATTACAGGCATGTGCACCCAGCTTGATTTCAGTTTTACAGATGAAAGACAAGAAAAATTAATATATCCTTCAGGGCACATACATGTATGTGATAATACTGTTGAAAAAAAAATGATTTCCCCAGGGAGATAGGGGTGTTACCTAGAGCTCAAAGGTATTGTAAGCTTTTAATAATTTTCTAGTTCTGGCGCTGGAGGTAAATTTATGAATGTTATGCTTGGGTTTAGATGTGCTAAAACATTTAGAATTTGTTATGTGGTAACATAAATGTGATATATATTTATGTATGTATAGATCATGTAAATGTGATATGTATTTTTGTATGCATGGGTCATGTATCTAAAAACACAAAGAATAGCTGCAGAGGGCTGGGGATATAACTCGGTTGGTAGAGTGCCTTGCATGCTTAAGGCCCTGGGTTTTAATCCCCAGCACTACCAAAAAAAAAAAAAAAAAAAAGAATAGCTGCAGTGTAAGAATTGGGGCTGGGGGCTGGGCATGGTGGCTCACTCCTGTAATCCCAGGAGCTGAGGTGGCTGAGGCAGGAGGATCACAAATTCCAAGTCAGTCTCAAAATAAAACATAAAAAGCAGGGAATGTGGCTCACTGGTTAGGCAACCCTGAGTTCAATTCCTGGTTCAAAAAAAAAAAAAAAGGACTGGGGTTGGGGATGACAAGTATGGCCTGCTAAAATCACAGAGAATCCAGGGATGGAGGGGAGAGGCTTATGTCTGATGTCCATGCTGAGAGGAACAGAGTCAGGGGAAGCAGGGCCAACAGTGATCAGGGAAGGGCTGACAGTCAGCTATACAGGGCCTCCCTCTTTGATCCTGTTGCATTCCTTTCCCCTCTCAGCTTCAGTGGTCCCATGAGCATGAGGTGGCCTTTTTCATTCCTGAGATTTCAGAGGAACATGATCCTAAGACCTCAATCACATGAGAGGCAGATCTCTGGGTCCTGCCCTCCTCTATCCCTCACCGAACACTCTGGCATCCTCATGTTCTCGGGAGGTGGCCCTGGAGGTGTTACTAATCAGTGTGGGGTGTTTTTCACTCAACTGGGGATAGAAATCATGAAAAGGCAAAGCATAGTTCTTTCTGATGATCCCAGCTCTTAGTGTTAACAGCTAATCTGAGAATTCTTTAGCTCAGTTGAGATAGAAATCACAAAGAGGCAAGCAATACCATCTGAATGAGGCTTTATTGGGGTGTGTGCTTGAGTACAAGGGAAACAGTGCATGGACAGGTTTCCTGAACCATTTGCTGAGGACACCAGGAGCAAAGCTAACACAGAAGGGGTGGGATCCGGCAGGCACAGTCAGCTGTTGCACACTGAGCTCAGAATTTCTGCACACTTGTTTTCAGATCTTTGTTCTCAGCACCAGGCTTTTCCCTTGACACTGGGATCTGCACATGTACACTCAGTCTGTCTGCACTCAGCTTACAAAAAATGAAAGAGTGCTTACTCTGCCACCTGAAGAAGGTCAGTTAAGTTCAGGCCCATTGTACATGTAAAGGTTGCTGGAAAGCTTGGGGAAAGGAGTGAGCAGCTCCTGAACTTGGTCATTGGTGGAAACAATTATTCAAAAACAACTTACATTGAGCAGGAAACCTTGGTGGGGGAAGCAGGGCCCTCCTTGCTGTTTCAGAAGCAGGACAGCCAATAGGTCCATCTGCCTGCTTTCCACTGCCCTGCCAATAAACCTTGTAGGAGGTTTATTGCCTGTACCTATTTTAGGTTCTGGTCCCAATGTCAGGCTCTGATGAGTCCTGACGGCAG